TAAACACTGCGTCTGTGCATAAAACAAAGCACTGGCCTGCAGAGCGTCGCGCAGCTCTGCAGCGTAATACTGACTGCTTGGGCTCTGCATGTGTGCCCACAAGCGGCCGAGCGCGACATTCATGTGAAGACTATTTTCCAGGCTGAGGTAAGCCGCCAACGCCGTCGCTGCTGCGGCTGCCTTGCTCGTCAGTCTGACCCTTGCCCGCCGCGCTGCCGCCTTTGAGGCCCTTCCCGCCAATTGGCACAACCACGCCCATGAAGAAACCTACGATGACGCCAGCAACGAGCGCAATCGACATGGCTGCAGCTTTCACGCCAGTGATGGGGCAAGCCACCAAAACACGGCCGCGCCTGCTAACTTGTCTAAGAGCCGCCAAGCGAACACAGCGCGTCTTGACTTGCCAAGCACGGATGGTTTTGCAAGCGGGCCGCAGTGACCAAACCTTGGAAGCAATAGAAAACAACTGCCTTCTGAGCTGTCGCCATTGAGTCTGTGTAACCGCACAATCAGGAAAACTTTAAGGTCACTAGTCCAGATTTGGCGTGGGGCCAGGCCCCACTAAAAGTCTGGTAGTAACAATGCGCGCGCCCGCAGCTTGCAGGCAGACTTCCCACGAAAGTCTTGTTTTTCGAGCCGCCCTTACACACGAAAGCCTTTCTGAGAACGCTTCCGGAAAAGGGCGGTTTCAGAAGCGCCCCTTCTGAATCCTTACTGCTGGATGGGGCATGCCACCGAAACCAGCGTAAGTCATTGTGGGCGCCGGGCGGGGCAAGCCACCGAACCCGCAAGCGCACACCGCAACAAGCATATCTGCTCTGCAAAAACACATCTATCCGCTTGAAAAATATGATCCGCAAGAAACATACGACTTGGGCGGCTCTTGCGTCGCATCACGCATGTCCGTTCGTCAGCTCACAGCTTTCCTGTGAGACTCTTTTGCCCTGAGACGCCTTCCCTCTTGCTTGCAGAAGGCGTAGGGGCCGGGCGGGGCAAGCCACCGAACCCGCAAGCACAAGCACATGCAACAACTTCAATCGTTGGCGGGCTTCACTTTGGAGGAAGGGGGAGCTGGGCACCCTATTGCTGGATGGGGCATGCCGCCAAAACCAGCGAAAGGATTTGTTTAAGGGGGCCGGGCGGGGCAAGCCACCGAACCCGCGCAAGCAAACGCAACAACGTCAATCATTGATGGGCTTGGGAGGAGGGGGGGTGGGGCGGGGCAAGCCACCGAGCCCTCAAACAACAAACGAGATGAAAAAAGATAATTCCGTTCCGACTCTCCGAAGGCGAGCAGCCAGCGAAAAACGATGCTGCAGGAATCAAGCCTTTCGCAACAATGGGCACACAGGCGCATTATTATTGTCCCGTCCTGCCCCCCCCCCTTCCCACCGAAAAACAACTTGAAACCCAAACAATTAACTTCTCTAAAGTCAACCTCAGCGACATAAATCGAGCAACAAATGCCCGCGAAAAACTGGAAAAATGCAAAATGCAAAAAAAACTTTAAAAACATGAACAATTGCCAGTTCAGACACAGACACAGACACACAGACACAGACACAGAGCACACGGACACAGACACAAACAGACAGACACAGAGACACAGAGACACAGAGACACAGAGAAACAGAGAAACAGAGAAACACAGACACAGACACAAACAGACACAGACACACAGACACAGACAGACACACAGACACAGCACAGACAGACAGACACAGACAGACAGACAGACAAAGAAACAGATACCAGAGACAGAGAGACCAACAGACAAAGAGAGACAGAGAAAGACACGGACAGAGAGACAGAGACAAAAAGAGACACACCTCCGGCGCGCAGCGCGCCGGATTCTGATGTCGACATGCCACAGGCTTCGCCTGCGCACGTGCACGCGTCCGACTCCGAGCCCGAGAGCCGTGATGCAGACGGGCTGCAAGAACGCGCGTGCGAGCTCTCGGCTGCGCGTGCCCCAGTTGCACGCGGCCGCTGGCCGCTTGTCCCCTGGCGCCCTCGCCCAGTGGAGCGAGCCAGTGGGAAACGGTTTGTCACGCGCTTGTCTCGGCGCTGCCCCGCCGCTCCCGCGGCCAGGAGGTGGTTGCAGGACTGGGCACCCCGGGTTGCTACCGGCCCGGTTTGGATTGGTAGTTTGGATCGGTGTTTTGGAGGTTAGGGGGTGGTTTCCCATTCAACTTCAACATGATCCAGGGGTTCAATCCCCAAACCACCACTCCAAACCAGCAATTAGGGGTAAGTTGGGGCGGGTGCCAAAAAAGGGCCAAGCTCTCAGGGGCCAAGATCTTATAGAGCCCACGCCGGCAAGACATTTTTTGCAACTCAGGCGCCAACATATTTTATCATCTCATACGTGTCAAAAAATGTATACTTGTCGCATGCGAAAAGCATGCTGCCGTTCTCCAAACACAGGTCGCGAGACGCACTGAGGGCCGGGCTGGTCGCGATAAGGTCACGCCAAAGAGTCAGTGAAAGGCGGTCGCCTGAGCAAGGTGAGAGCGGATCCGCGGGCTGTTGGCCTCAAAAGATCCATCCACGCACGCAGTTGTTGCAAGCGCAAGCGAAAACGCGACCGACCAGAAAACATCCTGGGTGCAAGCAAAGCAGAACTGATTTTGCTCAAAGCATAGGGAAAAACGCCACTGGTCGCAACAATCGGCCGCGGCTCACAGCTTCTCGCATCGCCAAACTCTCGGAATGCCCCGACTCTTTATCTGGAAGACACAACGGCTTCGTTCAACGGCTACGGATGGGGAGATATATGCCTAGACTCTTGATCTAGAAGACACAACGACTTCGTTCAAAGTCCGGACCATTTTTCCGAAATATCCCGGATATTTCGATAGTCGCACTCCAGACCATTTTTCCGAAATATTCCGGATATTTCGACGATAGCATTTCCCGAAATATTTGGAATATTTCGGGAAAACGGTTCTTAAAATATTCGGAATATTTTAAGAAAATGGTGGATGGCTGCGATTCCCGGACCGTTTTCCCGAAATATCTAGAATATTTCGGGAAATTGGTCCCCACAAAAAATGAAGCCACTATGTCTTCCGCACATATGCCCGGGGTAGCCCGGACAGATTTGGGCGAGCGATCCGTAGGAATTATGAAGCGGTTACATCTTCCCGGGGCAGTCCGGACCAATTTTCCGAAATATCCGGGATTTTTCGGAAAAGCGGTCCGGGAAAACGCGCGCAAGTGCGACGAGCAAGTTTCACGGTTTCGCTTTTTATAGAGTAAATATATATACAACCAAACAGCTAAACATATATTACATACATACATACATATATTACATAACATTGCGTCAAATTACATTACATTACATTATTACATCACAATACATATACATCACATTACTTACATACACACATTACATACGTTACATACATACATACATTACATTACACACATGCATACATACATACATTACATTTATTACATTACATTACATTATTTACATTACATACATACATACATTACATTACATTACATTGCATTGCATTGCATTGCATTGTATTGTATTGCATTACATATATACATACATACATTACATATATAATATTATACATTACATACATACATAACATACATACATACGTATATACATACCTTACATACATACATTACATATATACATGCATACATACATACGCGAGAGGGAGATTAGGGAGAGAGAGGCTTGGCGGGATAAGGAGGGTAGGGGGCAGAGGGAGGGAGAGAGGACGACAAAACCCACAAGGAAGACAGAGAGACAAAGAAGGAGAAAAGGGAAAGGACAATGTCGGCGGACTAAGCCGGAGGCTCTAAAATTTTATTTTTAACTTAAACAATAATTTTCATGCCTATATATATATATATATCTCTCTATCTCTAATATGAGCTGGAAAAACCGTATTAAAATTCTTATCCCAGGATGTTTTCATTGCAAATCCAAGCGGCGGTCTTCATAAGAGTGAAGTCCCCCAAAAACATGTCCCTTAAATGTATGAGGTCTCAGGTGTGTACACCGCTGCAAATTGTTGCTGGCTACTGCTGCTGGCTATTGCTGCTGCTGCTGGCTGCTGCTGCTGCGGCTGCTGGCTGCTGGCTGCTGGCTGCTGGCTGCTGACTGCTGACTGCTGCTGCTGGCTGTTGCTGCTGGCTGCTGGCTGCTGGCTGCTGCTGCTGGCTGCTGGCTGCTGGCTGCTGGCGCTGGCTGCTGGCTGCTGGCTGCTGGCTGCTGCTGACTGCTGGCTGCTGCTAGCTGCTGCTGGCTGCTGCTGGCTGCTGCTGCAGGCTGCTACTGACTATTGCTGCAATTCATTACCAAGATCTACAAAAACAAAGAAAATGCAAACTATAAAAATGGGCCACTCCTAATCCAAGGCATCTACGACTTACATGCGACTTGCACGAAAATTTAGCAATCTTCCGGATTCTTTCGACCATACGGATAATAATAATGATAAAGCATCACCACATCACTTGCGCTTCACTTGCGCGGCCCCATGTTTGCCTTACACGGCCACTCCTATAACACACTCCTACCATTCAAATTACAAGCGACGGTGCAACTAATTTAATAAGTCCAAAAAACCTAAAATCATGCCTAACATTAACACATACAACGGTTTGTTTTTTCCGACTCATATCATTAAATCCAATTATAATCCAACAACTACAAACACCAATTTTATTATACTTCCCCATATCAATTATGCGAGTATAATGCAATTTCCTATAGACAATTATATAAATTTCTTCTCCTCCAAAAGTTTAACGATATATCCAAGTAATTTTATAATCACTTATCCAAGTCAATAATTACCATATAATTCCTATATATTCAATTATTCAAAGGACCAAGAAAAATTGGTTAACCTTTAGAGACCATAATCAAAAACACAACAAACAAGCAACAACCAAACGGGTAAAAGGTCGTCTTTGGGCAAGTAAGCAAGTAAGTAGTATTCTTGACATAGATGTATATTGTTTTTGTGGCAAACGACATCATCTGAGAGATCTCTGGCTTTTGGCAGAAAATATTGCACGACGTAGTCAGCCGGCTCTGGGGCCTTTATTGGCGAAACTCTCCTTTCAAAGGCGAGCGCGCGCCGCTGATGGGTGGCCCAGGGCCGGATTTGCAGCTTCCGTGCGGCAAAGCCGCTTTTCAGAAGCTGACTCGCGCAATTGAGGCGATATTTCAGGAAAAACGTCGTGTTAAAACCGATTTGCCCGAGTGCCTATTTGGAGTGGCACCCTGGGCCTGCAGGCTACATAGTTCGTCCCATGAAGCCTATGCAGCGCAAGATTGGTTCTGGACGCTTCACAAAGCCAAGCGGTGCGGGCGCCGGCGTCTGCGTCGTCGAGAGCGGCGCAATAGCCGAAATTGTATCAACTTAGCAGCCAGTGAGCGGCTGACAGGAACAGGAAATTATACACAACAGGAAATGAAAACGACAAGTATTGAAATGAACAGTTTGATTGAACGAAAAATCTACACAGGAAAAGGGTGTTGTTTCCGCGGCTTGCTGTTCTGCCGATGTTCAACCGTCGATCCTGACTGTCAGCATTCTTCGGCTACTCATTTGAGGTTTGAGCGTGTCTTCCCTGTTGGAAAACAAGTCAGTGTGCCCCGACCCGTGTTTGGCAACTTGCTGGACCGGCTGAACACCCCTCAGACAGCCGCAGCATGCACTAACCGCCAGTCTGTCAGGCCCGGTTGCGTGACGTTTTCTAGGTGTTCCATTAGAGAGGTTAGATCTTTTTTGTCTATTTCAGTGGGGGAACCCTCCCAACCAAAAAAGTTGGTCAAAGGAGTCCAAAAAAAGAAACGGTAAAAGGCACCTATCTGGGGGGGCCTAGTGTTGCGACTTGCGCATTTCTGCACGGCACCTGCGTCAGAAACGCCATAACTTTTTCCCCAGGCCGAGCCGCAAAGTGCAAGCCATCGCTGGTCTGCATCACCTCCCCCCGGCCGCTGATGGCGCCCGAAGTCCAGCTCACCTGCGCAAGGCCTTTGCATAGTGGGTTTTGGGGAAAACAAATGGCCCTGGCAAATGGAATGAAACCCACCTAAACCAGCGCCGTCTGTCTCTAGCCAAAATAGCTGAAAAAGGACACCTGTGGGCCGTTGGTCAGACCAAGCTAGTCTTCAAGCCTTCAGGCAATCCAACTTTGAAGGGCCACTTCTATCCCCTTCAAGCACTTGCGCCCCCAAACAAGGGAATCAACCTCGCCTCCACATTCCCGAAGCTGAACGCCATCTTGCAAATCTGCCCCTGCATGTGGCTCTCCTTCGCTTTCTGCATCATCTCCTCAGGGGTGCGTGGTGCCCCACTTGCAGACTCAGGCACCTCCCGCAGTGCCCTTTGTAAACTCCAGCTTTCTCGAACTCGGCAACAGCCAGGTGTCAGAAATGCTTCAGTGCCTGGGTGATGGATAGGGCTTCCCAGAACCCATGCTGAGTTTTCATGTGCCCTTTGCCAGTTTTCAGGCGCACTTGTTTGCAAATCCTTTTTGGGTTTTGTGCTCGAGGCACCACATGCCTGCGCTTCTTGTGGTCAGCAGGCCCATGTCAAAGTCAAAAGGACCATGTTGATTTCCCGGTGGACTGCCAATCTGTCCCAAACGCTGGAGGGGGCTCCCAACAGATCTGTCCGATCTGTCCATTTACAGCGACATCTTGCATGCAACTGGGCGGAGCATTGGTAGTGTCCTCCAGGCCCTGCATGCTGTTGGCCGGGACGATCTCTGAAAGGCCCCGACCAGCCAAGAAGCCAACCTCAACGGAGGCAGCAGTGACCACCATCTCTGACATGTCGATCTCCAGCCAGGATAACTGGGCAATGCGTTGAAGTTCAAGTCTCTTGCGAGATGTAGTTGGAATGAAAATAAGAGGCGTAAGCTCTAGTGATGAGCAAAAGTGATCAAGCTTTGCTCCCTTAGGCCTGGAAATGGTCCCGAGATTTGCTTCAGGGTAGCAAACCTTACTTCATCCCGGTGCCTAAATTTCAGCCCTGTCAGAACAGGACAGGACTCGTAAACACAAAAGGGCATGTGGAGACGAGGAGTCCCGGAGTGAGGAGTGAGGCCCTTCGAGTCTGGCCAAGTCCAGCTACACATGATGCAAGACACAAGGGCTTGCCTGGTCCCTTGAAGGACCGGAGTGCACCAAGAGAACGCGATGTCGGTAACAGCTAGGGCTGCTCTTGATCAGGGGTCAGCGCTGCTTAGGTTCCATTTTGGTTTGACTGCGTTTCTTTGACGCCGCATCAGCCATGCTTGAGGCCCCGCGCTCTCTCCCGCTGACTTTCTGACACCTGTGTGTTGCAGCCTAGTTGAACGAAGCAACTTTCTTAAGTTGGGATTGCGCGAAGGAAAATATTTTGCGCCCATGCCTTCAGCGCATCCCCATTCAAGGTAGCTAACGTGATAGACGCCGGTCTCAGACTGATTGGGGGGCACACTTCCTGAAGAAGCAATTTCGTCTCAAATTGCAAAACTCGATATTCCTTTGTTCGCGTTGCAACGCCAACGTGCCCACTAAGTTTTTGCACGCATAGCCCCCAGCAAGCTTAATCACTCGCTCCATGGGAACCCTGTCTACATGGGCAGATAGCAGCTGAGAATCAGCTGAACCTATGGGTCAAAAGTTGGAGCCTCAGCGTCAAAAGCTGTCAAGTCGAGTCACAGGCTCTGTCACAGCTGTCTGTCACAACAAGCTCTGTCACAGGTCGGATGCTACTTAAAATCCAACCACCCCAAACCTGCCGGCTGATCATTGTGCAGCAGCTCTTCTTGACCCGGCCACTCCCAAGCCCCAACTAGTCATTAGAGCTCAAAGGGAGCAAATAATCAATCTGATTTTCACTTCTTGGGAAAACCGGCGTGCATCCGTGCCTGGTCTTCGACCTCCGGCAGAAGCGCGCCAAATGAATGACTTTGACTGGTTCGAGAGGGTCTGTGGCTTGGCTGAACCGGCAAGATGAAGGAATCCTCGGCGGATCCATCATTGTAAGGCTGGCTGTCAAGTGAAGGGCTTGCCAAAGCATCCTGATCGGTAAAGTCCCGCAGTCCAATCCTGACTGACAGCGACAGCATTGTTATCTATTAGCACTAACCAAACAACTCACGAGAGCAGCCCACCCCGAGGCTGCAATACCTTTAGGGCTCAGGAAGCGTCAAGATGCTGCTTGGCAATGGGCCCACAAGTGTGCAACATCGCAAGGCTGCAGAAAGACTCGATGCAAGCTGAGGTGCAAGTGGGAAAGATGTCCATCCCACTTTGTGTAACTCACCTGGAAAACTTCGGTCCGGAATTTGCTGGAGCAGCTGTCCACCATTCGTGTATGAAATACGTGTACTCGAAACGGCTCAGAGCAGGAAGCTCGCTGCATCATCATGGCGGCTTGTTCGGCATCGCTCGGTGGCATGAAGTCTGTAAAACGCGTGCCTTTCAGCGAAGTACCCTGGCCATTCCGTAGCAGACATGCTGCCAGTTCTGGAGAGTGTGAAGCAAGGCGCATCTCCGAGTCAAGCTCTAGGACCGCGTCGCAAGTTAAACTCAACAGCGCAGATGCTGCGCGCAAATCCGTTTCCATCTTGCCACATCTTACGCCCTGCTCCACCCTCGTCCTCAAAAGTGACTTTGCGCAAGGCGATGCAGCGACAGCTAAGGCGCAACCGATGAGCTCAAAAGAAAACACCAAGATGGATATGTCGACGTCTCCCAGCTCCACCCGCTGCAGACAAATGCGAGACCACACCAAGGGGGAGAGGCACAAATTCAGAACCACCGCCAACGGTGTCGAGGATGCAATGAACATTGAGGCCGGCAAACGGACAAATGCAAATGACATCAGCCAAAATATTGGCAAAAGATATGAAGGCACTGCCAAAGGTGATGTCACGGCCGCAGTCTGCAGCATGCACAGGCAATACCATATGTTCAATGTCCTGCATGGTTTGATCCGTATAGTTCTTGCCCAACAGAGTTGGTCTGCCATAGGGTGTTCAGGAGTGGTCTCTGCCCCGTGCTCTCACTACGTTTTGGCTCAACAAGGAAGTCAAAGGCAAGAATCACTCTCTCCAGCCTGGTGGTGAGCAAGCTATCGAAAAGAGCGCCCATTGTCAGAGCCGCTGCAGAAATCATTGTTGCCCAGGGGATCATAGCTGGAAGCCACCTATGCATAGGCTCTCAAAGGCAATGCGCAAGCTGGCTTCAATTGAACCCCTTGCCAGTGCATTAGATACTGACCGCGACACAGCCCTCATGCAAACCCGCAGGCCTTGGCTGGTCAAAGACGATCTTCCACTGAATGGTGATGGTTATCAACCAGAACATGATCGCATAACCGCGAACAAAATATCTGGCGATTCTCAGCTGGGTATGTGCCACTTCCTGACATGCAGCCAAACTCAAAAACGTACAACCCAAACTCTCAAACCAGCAAACATGCACAGCGTAGGTCCTCCGAAACCATCTTCTCCTCGTCGGTCAAGTCTTTCTGAACGCAGGCCTTGAACTTACAAAGTCTAAATATACGTGTCAACTGGGGCAGCTGTTGCCGGAGATTCTGGCAAAGCCTCAGCAGCCTGTCAACTCGTGCGAACATCCAAAGGAGACGCAGTACGCAACCTGTTTCTACGATGACTGTGATCACCATGAAGTTGTCGGACACATCCACATCCTCCAAAAGGCTCATGGCGAGCGCCGCGGGCTAGCGCAGGCTTCCCCGTCTGAGCACTGCGCCGTCGAATGGCAAATGAGAAAACAACTCATGCGATCGGGACTAAAACCTGCGGTCCCCTGGTGGTTCAATTTTGACACACACCTGTGTCAGGTGCTGGAGGCCCTGGCATCACTCAGTCCATTTTGCCATCACGCGTGCAAGGTTTGCAGCCGCAGGCCCTGGGCAAAGGCTAGACATGTCAGCTCTGCGGACCCTCAAACCTTGCAGCTCTTTCACCAGGGTCAGTGCGGGCCGAATGAGTTCAATGAGCCGACTTGACCAAACTTCTGGCTTGGAGAGAAGCCTAGAAAGCACACTATCTTGAGATAGTCATCCAAACAAACTCAAAGACTTACACATACGAGTGCGCTTTTTTGCCCAAAAAGGTGTCCCCTAATTGGCCGGCTTCCTCTTTCCGCCGAGAAGCAAGGAATTCCGCCCTTCTGGAAAAAAACACCTAATATGGTAATTATGTATCCAAGAACACCCATATGATATGTATCCCACCGGCTCCCCCAAAATGGAGTGGCTTTCCTCTTCCGCTCTAAAAATAAACACCCAAAAAACATCCAACACATCGCCAAAAAAACCCAAAAACCATACCAACAAACCAAAACAACATCACAAAAAAAAAAAACAAAAACATCCAAATAAACAAAAAACAACACAAAACCACCTCCCAAAACCGCCAACCCCCCCCCCCAAAACCCCTCCCGCCTGGAGCAGCTGCTTGGCGCTGGTGCGTTGCTCGGGGGGGAACACGAAGCACAGCTCTGCCAAACGCTGCACCTCCAGACCTGGAAAACTCGGAGTGTTCCTATCAGAAACATGGCTTTCTGCTTTTGATTGTATTTGATTCATGGCTTTCTGTTTTTTATGGCTTGCCATAAGTTTTCTATGGGATTGTGGGAATCTGACATGGATGGCTTTCTGGGGTTTTCCTATGGGATTTATGGCTTTCTAGGGTTTTCCTATGAGATTCATGGCTTTCTGCGGATTTCCTTATGGCATGGATGGCTTTCCATGAGTTTTCCTTATAAGATTCATCGCTTTCTGGGGTTTTTGTATGGGATTTATGGCTTTCTGGGGTTTTCATATGGGAATCATGGCTTTCTGGGGTTTTCCTATGGGATTCATGCTTTCTGCGGATTTCCTCATGACAATCATGGCATGCTTTCTGCGGATTTCCTCATGACAATCCTGGCTTGCTGGGGTTTTCCTTTTGGGATTTATCGCTTTCTAGGGTTTTCTATGGGAATCATGGCTTTCCATGCGTTTTTGTATGGGATTCATGGCTTTCTGGGGTTTTCCTTGTGACATTCATGGCTTTCTGGGGTTTTCCTATGGGATTCAGTGCTTTCTGCGGATTTCCTATGGCTTTCTGGGATGATTCATGGCTTTTTTTGTGGTTTCCTGTGAGATTCATGGCTTTCTGGGGTTTCCTATGGGATTCATGGCTTTCTGGGGTTTTCCTACGGGATTTTTGGCTTTCTGGGGTTTTCCTACTATGGGAATTCATGGCTTTCTGCAGTTTTCCTATGGGATTCAGTCTTCTTATGGGAAACTCAGGAAAAGCCGGAGATGTTCATGTCACAGGAAGCTTCTCTGCACATGCAGTCGCAAACTGAAACTCAACTAAAAAACTGAAATTTGGTTGCCTACTACGTACTTAGTTTCCAGATTTTGGAAGCCTACCTGCTCGCATCCCAGTTTTCTGATGAAGCATGCTTAGTTTGGGAGTAGCAACTGTGCCCTCGTGCAAAAACAGCGCCGCGCTGACAGCCCTCTCTTCGAGCACATCAAATGCGCAAGTCAGTTCAAAACAAAAAGCAAAACAAAAAAAACGAACGTCTTGAGGCTCGCGCTGACCCCATGCCTGAGCGCCATGCTTAGAATGCACCGAGTCAAGCTATTGGCATTCGATAAGAACTGCACCACTTCGTGAAAGGAAGCTGCTTCTCCACAAGGGTCTTCCTTGGAGAAGCCGACTCTCTCCAGTCATGCAAGTGGCATGCGTCAATAGGGGGGACCCCCCCCAAACTGTACATCCAACATTGGTAGAACTGGTACATCCAGTAGCCCTGCCTGGCAACTCCCGGGACAACACCCCAAACTGTAGTTTCCCGCTGCTTTTCCTTAAGCACCCCGAAATTGCTACTGGTACATCTACACAACTTCCAGTAGCCTTGCCTGGCAACCCACGCGACAAACACCCCCGCGACAACACCCGTCGATGGGTTTTCTCCGGGTCTCGTCATCACCTGCTGGATGGAGGTGCACTCCTCGTGGGGCAGCCTGCTGGAAATGATCTCCACCATGAGGCAGCCCAAGGCCCAAACGTCCACCTGACTTCGACCAAGGCCTTCGCACTGCACATGCTGCCGCCTTGGCTTTGCGCCCTTGAAGCCCATGGCCAAAAAAATCCGTGTTAACAGTTTGTTCTTTAAGCCCATGGCAAACAAATCCGCGTTAACAGTTGTCTGTTTTTTTTGTGGGGGGGCAGCTTCAGCAAGGTTACAACTGCAACTGTCGCAACCTTCTCCGTGATCTTCCCTCGCGAGTCGAAGAGCTCTGGAGCCATGTACCTGCACAGCTTGGGAATCATTTGAGTGTGAGTCAAAAATAGGTACCCAAAATGGGGCCCTGGCAAATGGAAACATGGACTAAAATCTGCGGTCCCCTGGTGGTTTGATTTTGACCCATACCCGTTTTGTTCGATGGCTCATGGCCTTGGTGATCCGCCCTCGTTGTCTCTGCGGCCTCGGAGCCGCGAATTCTTCTTTCCATCTGGAGGGAAGCCTCCAAACTCGGTTGCTTTCTGCTCCCCTGCTAAAAGTTTAACTTTAGTGGTTCAAATGGAAAACCCATTTGTTGGCGAAAAGTTAAAGTCCTAACATCCAGGCAAAATGCACCAAAGCAAAGATTCCCGGAGAGTTGTCTTTACTCGCAAGCAACTTGAGGTCTGACTTTCAGGCTGAGGACAGGGCTGATGTGGGTCTTCTCCATGGACTGACACATACATACACCCATGACAGCACAGCCCCAAACACGATTGACCAAGGCTTTCATTCACCCTGGTTTTCCTTCGTCGCGATTTGCACCTGTTTGGGCAACCAGCCGGCAAATTCGATCTTGCCTGAGTCAGCCCAAAGTCGCAAAGCTTGGCATTGAGGTCGTCGTCCATGATGACCTCCCATCCGCCGCCAAGCAACGGTGCAAGCCTTTGGCACATCCAAGCTCGCCACATTCATGCTCTTCAGGTCGCGGTGAACAAAGGGCGGCGACTTGCTGTGAAGAAAGCTCACCTGAGATAAGCCGTGGTCAGAACTTCAGAAAAGCTACGTACATCTCCCACTTGCCGCATCACCACCAAAACTGCACATTTGGGCGCATCCCCCCCACGAGGTACAATGCTTCACGGCATTCTAGTCCTGGCTGTCTTGCGGCATTTTGTCTCGCGTATTGCAGCCCAACAAGAGCTGTTGCACAAAGGGGCAAGCATTTTGTCCAATCCATCGCAGAGAAAGCGCAGCCGAGCAGCACCTTCCGAGACCTAGAAAGCAAGGACAGTCGGTCATGCTCTTACAAGACATGTTGGTGTCTGATGTGATTGATGTTGAAGCTTCGCTCTCTTTGGCCAACTCTCAAGATCAACCACCCCCTTCCTTTTTTTTTGCGCGGCTTTTCTGCCAAAGGGGTGGGGGTAGCACCTTTTGCTGTTTTTGCAAACGGGGCGGGGGGGTCCCGGTACCCGGGAGGGGGCCTTCTGGACCTTCTGGGCCAAAAGGCGTCTCCGGCCTGCGTGGCGATCTTGAAGCGCTTCTCCTGCTCCAGCTTCAGCCTGGGATCAATCTGCGTGCGCGGTTTGGACACTGCATCCCCCCTGCTGTAGGGGGGAGGGGGGTGGGGCCCCCAATTCCATTTATCTAGTCTTCCCAACAAAATGGAAAATCCAGAGATGGATTTCCAGGGTCACCCCCTCCCACAATTCCATTGCTAAGGGGGTGGGGATGTCACTGCGGAGGGCTTGACGCTGTGGCTTCCGAGAAAATGACTTGTAAACCTGGCGTGGCTGGCGGGCAACAACGGCCCCGAAAGACTTTTCCAAGCCTTCCAAATAGCACTCCGCGTAAATGTGTTCACACTGCGGCTGGATATTCCCCAAGTCGTGTCATCACAGCAAAGCTCAGCTCGCACGCAAGGATTTCTACTCGACTGTCTGCGCCTGTTGCCAGCTGCTGCAAGTCAGCAGAACACGTACCGTACCGAATGGCACCAGGATTGTCCCTGCTTGTGCCTTGCAGTGAGTGCGGGTTGGCCCACGAATTTAGCCAGCGCCTGGGCCGTAAAGGCCCAAGACCACAATGCCCAAAGCCAGAGTTGTAGCTCCTGAACGATGCAATGCGGGCTATCCGAAAGGCAAGCCGGATATGGCTTTGCCAATGCAAGCAATCCAGTGAGCAACTAAGGACACACAGACTGAACCCCGCCCCCAAATTAACGACAGCAAGTGCTCAAACCATCTGCCGGCGCTCCTGACCAAAAGACTCCCACAGATGGTCCGACGATCTCTTTGAACGCATAGATGCCCCAAAGACCGCCGAAGAACAAGGCGCACTGCAGGATCGGATAGGCCACACCATACGGCAATGAGTAGGGTGGACTCTGCGCGATGACGGAGCAAACGTTGCCGGAGTTCCAGATCAAACCACTTGCCAAGCCGGCCAAAATCTGGTCGGTTTTAAGCCGTGGCCAAGACTGCTGCTTCTGGATTACCTTCCAGTACCTGAAGCAAAACATGACGTGTGCCCAGAGGTACCTGAAGCAAAACACAACGTGTGCCCAGAGGTGAGGTTGGGCAAACCTTTTCAATCTGCCATCCCCTCGCCTGGCACGTGCGCCGTCCCAGCCGCAATACAGTTTTCAAACCAAGCACTTTGAGCCTGACACTTAGTGAGGGCCGCAGTGATATGGCTAACGGACGCTAAGAAAACTAGTTCAAATATCCTTGTTTGAACCATGCGCTGTACTGCAGGCAAATTTCAAATGTACCTGTTTCAACTCTTCGCGAGGCTCGGGGGATTTTCGTACGTATCCCATGTATATGAGCCATGTTGCGCAGTGGTCACTATGATGCCCGCCACCAATGCTCCAACGCCAAACGAGGGCACAGCTGCAAGACCAGCGATTTCTGGCGGGATGAATTTGAAGGGCACCTCAGGCAAGCAAGCAAAAACTTTTCCTTCGGATGATGCCCTGCAAAAGGATAGGTTCCGAGGCAAACAAGCCATTGACAAACTGCCGCATTGCAGCGCTTTCAGGGTCGACTCTTTGGTGTGAACCTGGCATGCGCATTCTGCCATTGCAGAACATGTGCATGTCAGCCAACAGCTCTCCGCTGACAGCTGATCGGCAACCAAGCTGCCAGCACAGAGCCGCCGAACAAACCCACAGCCAAAGCTGACGTAATGCCAGCAGCACGGTCCTTACTGAACTGAGAGTTCCAATTTAAGGAAAAAGGGCTGAAGCACTTGACACCATCTTAGGAAATAGAAATAGCTGAAACAGAATCAAACGAGCCAATGAGGCACATGCCGCTGCTTCAACTCAGATGCTACCTGTAGAATAACCACAGCGACATATGCCACATATCATTTGGACACTCCTTTTATCGAACAGACGTGAGATGAAGGGACAACCGAACAAGCGGGGATCCGGAGGGAGCGGGGATATGGGGGGATTTTCCTTGGCGCCATTTCCCATATCAAACTTAGTCACGTATCCCTGGTTCCCCCTGTAACCCTGCTAGTTGGTTTCCCTGAGTGAAGAAGGGACCAACGAGCCAAGCTGCGCTCCCAGAGCCGGCCTCGGATGTCTCAGACTCGGAGCCGGCTCCAGTGAAGCGCTGGGCGATTGTGTCACAATTCACGATGATCAGGGCACCTGGCGCTTTGGCCGAACGAACCGTGTACCCCCCACCAGCTAGCATGGAAGTGCAGAGACTTCTTGGAAAGGGCCTTTTTTTGCACTTCCATGTTAGTTGGTGGGTAATGAGCTGTGACTTTGGGGTAAATGGCTGTCCTGGCTGGAAGTTGAAGGCACATGCGCCAACTTTCCAACACACTCACATGACTCCTTTTTCCCCCTCTCAGAACCTGTTTCAAGAACTTGCCTGCGATGAGCAGTGCCAAGGCTGCCAGTGTGGCAGGAAGGCTTCCCAGTGGCGCAGCCACCTCTGCAGGCCCAATGGCGCCCCATGCGAAGGACACCAAGATGGCCGAGCAGGACCAAACCGCCTGCGCGGTGGCTAGGCCCGCACGAGGCATTGCCACGAAACTGAAAAGCCCCGCGAAGACAAAGAGGACGCCGCCGGTGGCACCAGCAGCGGTGAAAACGAAGGGCAGGTTGAAAAGGAAGGGAATGAGCATTGAAGATAGAAACACACCCAGGCAGACGATGCCATTGAACAGTACTGGGTCCAATGGAGTCCCTTTCGGCAGCCGCTGGCAGGCTGGGAAGGATCCGTTGAAGAAGGATGACAGAGCCGCCAAGCCAAACGCTGCCACCTGGGATTCACCGACTGCCTGCAAGCGCTTTGATCGCTTGCTTGCAGTCTGCTGCAGCAGACACAAGCCCGTACCATCGCACAGAGACGGCCTGGGCCGCATACTTTGAGTAGGAGGCTGCGACTCAGGGATGGCGCCATGCGCCACTGATGCGAAAGTGGAAGATGCAAGACCTCGCAGGGCGAACTGCTCCCACATCAGTTGAAGTCCAGTATTTAATTCACTAGTGCTGCGACAATGAGACCCTTTAGAGTGGCGTCAACATGTTGCAATGGATTTTGAAGGGCGTGGGCTCACAGTTTGAGCCTGTCAGAGATGCAAAGGCCAAGGCAAGCCGTTTAGCCTTGCGCGCTTCCATTGGGCGCCGGATGGAGTGCTGAGCAGGCGCACATGACCCCAACATGTTTGAGCTTCAAAGTCTGCGCATGCGTAGCTGAATGCGCTCGTCACCGACTTGAGGTCAATAGCCCGACCCCCCGCGGCACCAAGGAACACGTTGACAAGTGCTCGAGGAATTGCTGGCTCATGCTACCAACAGCATGCCAAAGCAAGCGATCAAGTTGTTGTCGGGCGAACTGCATCTCAGGACAGCACTTGCGCTGATGTAATGCGTCATAGAGTGACCTGAGTGTGTCAAGTTCGCATGTTTCTGGGTCTTCCCTGCGGTCGGGTTCAACACTTTTCACGTGACGCTTCAAAGCATCCGTGGCCGGCACCCGTTGGGCATGAACTCTGTGACCTTGGCAACCCCCCCAACACTGCCCCGAGTGGCATCGCCTAGGGCACAGCCTAATGTTGACCTATGATTAATAAATAGGGGGCCCCCCCCCCCCCTGAATGACCATAAATAAAGATTAGGGGAGAATTTTCAGGGTCGGGCCTTGTTTAAAGGAGTTTAGTATTGGGCTCAGTTTTTTGGTTTTCGAATACTACTTTAGAATTGGGCCAATTCAAAAGTAGTATTGGGCATGTTGTTTTTTCTTATTTTGCTTTGGGGGAATACTAGTTTAGAATTGGGCCAATTCTAAAGTAGTATTGAGCCAAGAACTTTTGCATGCATTTCATGAGGGTTTGCGTGGGCAGGCATGTATTCCAGGAGGGATTGAGAAGGACATTCATGAGGGGCTGGCATGCATTTCAGGAGGGATTGCGAAGGACATTCATGAGGGTTTGCATGGGCTGGCATGTATTCCAAGAGGGATTGAGAAGGACATTCATGAGGGTTTGCGTGGGCAGGCATGCATTCTAGGAGGGATTGAGAAGGACATTCATGAGGGGTTGCATGGGCAGACATGTATTCCAAGAGGGATTGAGAAGGACATTCATGAGGGTTTGCATGGGCAGGCATGTATTCCAAGAGGGATTGAGAAGGAAATTCATGAGGGTTTGCATGGGCTGGCATGCATTCTAGGAGGGATTGAGAAGGACATTCATGAGGGTTTGAGGCATGTATTCCAAGAGGGATTGAGAAGGACATTCATGAGGGTTTGCAGGGGCTGGATGTATTCCAAGAGGGATTGAGAAGGACATTCATGAGGGTTTGCATGGGCAGGCATGCATTCTAGGAGGGATTGAGAAGGACATTCATGAGGGTTTGCATGGGCAGGCATGTATTCCAAGAGGGATTGAGAAGGACATTCATGAGGGTTTGCATGGATTCAGCATGACATTCACAAGGGGAGGCATGGGTTTGCAGGCATTTCAGCAAGGGTTCAGTGAGCATTAGCTCGGCCAGCATTGCAGCCATGTCATCAGTGAGTGAGAATTCATGGCATGAACTTCATGAGTCAGATTTAGATTCAGGGCATGATGCAGATACAGAGCAGGCTGGGCAGGAGGAGGCTGGATCAGAGCTGGGGGCTGCAGAGCAGGAGGATGAGAATGCAGCAGTTGATGAGGGTGCATCAGTCCAGCGTTATTGGGCCAACCAGTACACTGCATTAGTGGGCATGACAAGGAGAATCAGGCATCATGTTGAAGTGCTTAATCTGATTTATCAGTATTTGGGCATTGATGTTGCAGACACATACTGGTGCCTGCATTATGCAGGCAGTGTGTATCAGTTTGTCCAGCTGGAGAACCCTGCATATTCAGATGCATGGTGCATCTGGGGCTGGGTGATTGAGTATGCAGCAAAAGGCAGCTACTATTTTGCGGGTGATGAGATCAAGGAGCTTGAATGTCATGTTGGAGATGTGCCATCAGAACTTGCATCATCAGGCTCAGCACCAGCAGGATCAGACTCAGCACCATCAGGCTCAGGATTAAATTCAGATGCATCAACCACAACATCCTGTACAGTCCCTCAGCATCCTCATGAGATCAGGTTTGTAGATTAGTTAGGCTCAGTGCAATGGACATGGCAAGTGTATGACAGAAAAAGGGTTATGGTGGTGTGTGGTGGGTGGTGTGTGGTGGGTGGTGTGTGGTGGGTGGTGTGTGGTGGGTGGTGTGTGGTGGGTGGTGTGTGGTGGGTGGTGGTGGGTTGGTGGTGCCAGCACCATTCCCTTTCAGCCCTGGCCAAGCCCTGCTAGGATCAGATCTTCATCAGGTGCTGCATCCAAAGAAGGATGATGAGGCAAAGAAGCCAATTGGAGAAGGGAAGGATGAGGAAAAGAAAGATGAGTAAGCAATGAGTAGCTGCAACCCAGTGTTCTTAGCAGTTGGCATCAGGATTGAGTTGGAAAACATGAAGGTGCATGCGCTGTCATGAGTGGCATGGGGGCAGTGAGCATGGATTCACTTGGCATCATGTGCATCCAGCATGTGCATGAGCCATTCAATCATCAGCAGCCTTTTGCACCATCAGAGCTTGGAATCAGTTTGTATTTGGAGCCCATTAGCATGGCCATGAGCATGAAGAAGGTGATGGCATGCCTGGTTGCCATCATTGCAGTGGTATTTGGCATCATCAGTAGCTTGAATCAATTCATGGGGGACAAATTGACAATTGCTCATCACTGACAATTGTTAACTATCATGACTGAGGCCAGGGGATTGACATGGAGCACCATCAGTTGATCAATCAGGGAGTGCCTTGGCCACATGGGGCATGGCAATGCAGGGAAATTAGCATGGGTGGAGGGTGCACACAAATCAGGTGATGTACTGCTTCATGCTGTATGCATTGTGGAAGATGCATCAGTTTGTGGATCATGCAACTTGGAGTCATTAATTAGTTAAGTATGCAAATGTATTTGTTTTGCAATGGCATGCAGGTAGTCACATGAACATTGATGAACATTGTTCACTGCTCAGGCATGCAACATCAGCAACTCAGCCTGGACATGTGCAAGGAAAGCAGGGTTCATGGAGAAGCGTGCCTGTGTCAGCAATCAGATTCATGATTCATGGCATGGAGTTTGCTTGAACCAGGTGTATAGTGTGTGAATGCTTTAAATTCTTGATGAACTTCAGGCATGGACATCGCCTATGGAGGCTTCCATGATTTGCAAAGGCATGTGGCACAGGTGCTCAGAGAGCCTCTTGGCTGATGCAAGATAATTACATGAAGCATGATGATGAGCACATGAGGTGATAAGGAACTAGTTAGTCAGATGTCATCAGCTGTTACTCAGTTAATTACTGGGCTCAGGTATGATGATCAGATGGGGGATTCTGCCATATTGCTGGGCATGATCCAGGGATTGCGCCCTACATTTGCACCAGGGATGAGCAGAACCTTGCCAGCATTAGTTTCATTAGGCAATGCTAATTATCAGCAGGCAATGCAGCAGGGCAACCATTGCAACCAGCATGGCAACACATGATTGGCTTTATTCATTCCAGCCAAGGGGATTACTATGAGGCAGAATGGGATTTGGCAATTCGTGCAGCATTGCTGGATGCAAAGCTGCAGGCCCAGCAGCTTTGAGTAACTAATGAAATGACAGTTCATGAAGCAAAATTCTAATTAAGTTGCATGATGATTGGACTTGTTGTTTTCAACTAAGGTATCAGCAGCTGATTCGCAAGGTATGTGGGATGAAGGACTATGTGGCACATGATAAAGAGCAGTTCATCAGGAAGAATGCCAACAGGAAGGAATGGCAACAGGAGCAATTCCATCCAGAGCATTGGATTAATTAGTAAACAAATGATTACATGAGTGCTTGAAACTAGCAAGTGTTTGAGATGTGCTGAGGATCAGGATGCTGCTTCCATCATGGGCATGTGCCCCCCATGGAGCAAGCTCATCAAGGCATACCAGGCCATTGATGCCAGGATGCAGCAGCTGGTGTGCCTTGGAAGTTTCAATCCAGAATCAGCAATCAAAGAACTGTTAGCTTGTGAGTGCATGATGTGATATCCAAGTGCATCATTGATTAAGGAAGCTCTATGAGCACTACAATCAGCAAATGGATCAGTGGGAAATGGACATTCCATTGCAGCCCATGTGGTCATTCCAAAGGGAGATGACCAAGATCGACAAGATGTGCCTCAGCAAGCAAGCATTTGATGAGTTTGATGAATTATCAATCAACAGACCCAGCAAGCAATCAGCAGGATACATAGTTAACAAACATCAGCTCTTGACCATCAGCAAGCAACATACATGTGAATAGTGTGCAAATGAGGATCCAGGAAAGCGAGGATAAGAAAGGGAGCCTTGGAGAATTAGTTGAGTCAAGGTAGAAGTCATCAGCATCAATGTGCATGCACACTTTGGACTTAAGGCAGAAATGCATCAAGGGCATGTTCTAAGCCTGATGCAGCCAGGAAGATGTGACTTGACAGCACATGATGAATGCAAGTGCAATGGAAGGGGACATTGGTTACTTGTTTGGGTGTGCAATGCAAGGCGCCATTCATCAGCTGGTATGGCACAAGCGGGTAAGGCGCAGTGCCTTGCAAGCAATAGATGGGCAGTTGCATGGCCATCAGCAAGCATGCAGTTAATCAAGGGCAGTGGCAGCACAACTAGCCTACAATCCAAGGTGCTGGACCAGCTGCTGATGGCCTGGCATGAGGTTTTTGATCAGAGGCTATGAGCCCTGGAGCAAAAAGGATGCAAGGCATCATGAGTGATTCAGGGCATCATGTTTGGCACTCAAGGCATCATGAGTGGAAATCAAGGCAATCAGGCAGTCAAGGGTTCATGGTCATGAGGGACATCAAGAGCCAATGACACCATGCATGTTGGGCTGCTCAAACTGCAATGCAGTTGCACACCATATTCAAGTTCAGCTATTGCATTAGGAGCAGCAGCATGATTAGGCTGCTCAAGCTGCAATGCAGTTTCACACCATATTCAAGTTCAGCTAATGCATTAGGAGCAGCAGCATGATTAGTTACTAAACCATTGCTCAGGAATCCAAACCAAAAGGCAGGCAACTTATTAGGAGACATAGAGCATTTTAGCATGGGTGGCCATGAAGAAGAGCATGGGCAAGGATGATGAGGACCGGGCACAGGGAGGGGAGAAGGGATGGGAAGCTGAGATGATGCATGGTTGATTGATTCATTAATTATGCATGGTAGCCATTGACACCCAAGCTCAAATCAACTTAGAAGCCATGATCGAGGGCAATGAGCCATACTGGGAGCTCAAGAAGCCATATTCAGCATGGATCCAGTGTGCTACATCAGAATGTCATGGGTGGACTTGGGCGAGGAAGTGGCATCAAAGAAACCCATACTGCTGGGTATGCAGGAAGCCTTGGATTGAGAGCTGGATACAGATTGGATTCCAAGTGTGGGAATTCAATTGATCAGATCCATAATGGATGCAAAAAATGG